CAACCCTGCCCCCCTCCCCAGCTTGTACAAGGCGAACCACATCATGGAGTTGCTGATATCTTGGACTCTAAGCTGAAGCAAAATAAACTGTTTTATTTGATTGAATGGAAGGACTTTGGGCCGCAACACAGAGAATGGGTGGTGGAGGAACATGTTTCCACCCCCTGCCTTCTCAAACGCTTCCACTGGCGCTTTCCCAAGAAACCTGGGAGGGGTAGGATGTCAGGTAGCCCTGTCACGGATCTGGAATGTGGGATTTTCCCCCCTCCTCCTCGTTCTCAGCTCTACCCTGTCCAGCCACTGTGCGCTATCTCAGGCTTGACCTTGTAGTCTCCAGCTGCATTTACTAGGCTGGTAATTGAATGGCTTTTTGCTATGATTGCTTGCTTGCTTGCTTTGCCGTGTGCACGAACCATAACCATTGGCTTCTGCTCATTGGGGGGGATGTTTGATTTCACTATAAGTCAGAGGCCCTTATACAGAAGACTATTCCTGACACAAGCTGTATACATGATCATTAGTACTGGATCCGTCAATAAACACTTATCTTCTTATGAAGCCCTGTGTGGTGTGACCTGACTAACGACCCTGACACTTCCCCTGGGAAAGCAAGCAGGGAGGAGAAGGGGGATGACTTGTGGAAAAGTTAAATCTCCTAAAAGCAAAGGTCTCATTCACTCCTGCACACTCTCCCCCCACCCTCTGAAATGCCCTCCCCCCAACCATTATGGCAACTGCAGCAAGCATAGCATAGCAAGGTCAATGCCTACCTTCTCAGTTAAGAGTCCTGTTTGCTCTCATGGATCCAGCACTCAAGGAAAAGAGCCCTCCTCCTTGCTACAAGGAGTTTTTATTACCTCTCTTTCCCCCACCCACTGACCGAGTCAGGCCAGGTCAGAGAAGCGTTTCCTGCAGCTTCTTCCTGATCCTCCAAATCTCTGTTCCCTGCTTGGAGAAGGGGGAGAGCTTGACCCACCCCATTGTCTCTCCTGCTAGAGCTATTAGCATATTTATAAAGGTAAGCTGGAAAACAATTGGACTGACTTCCTCCTCCCTGCATGTTCTCTGCCCAGAGGGGGGGAAATGTTTAAAACTGCCTAGTGAAGGGCCGAAGGATGAACATAGTTGCTTGCTAGGAGCACTCTGTGCTTTGTCTCTACCCTACTGAAGATGTTTTGCTATAAACATTGGAGGGAGGCATCTTCAACCCCCCCCCCCTTTCTAAGGAAGGGTTTTTACAGGTGGGCTCATCTGGATTTCTTTTAGAACACCTCTGATAACATTGAGATGGTGGGGAAAGGGAGGCATAATCTGCCAGTAAGAGCAGACCTTTCACTACTCACCTTTTGGACTTTCCCTGGCTTTTCTCATACCCTCCCTTATTAGAAAGAACATTATAAAGCAACATAAGTGAAGCAGTTTAAGAAAGAGGTATCCCCCCCCCCCCCCCCTTTTTTCTCTTCCCCTGCTATGATGAACTGTCTTATCCTGGAAGGGAAATATTTCTGTTCGACCGGTAATGTAAAGAACCTATATAACTCTTTGAACTGAGGGGGAGAGTACTGGATTAACAAGGCTGTTATCTTCGGTTAAAGCTCGCAACACAAATGAATGGATATTTTTAAGGCACTTTCAATGCTTTGTTTTTCTCAAGTATGTCTGATATCAGTTTGATCCTGAGTATACAAATATAAACAGACATAGAAATTTGGTTCTACTTCCAGGATGTCTATCCATCTCTAAGGATTTGATATTGCTACATGTCTTTTTTTATTGGACTATTGCGAATAAGCCAAAAAACTGCATAGTAGAACAAAACCCTGAATTTTCATCTTACAGGACCTGGGAAATTTCCCACCTCCTCCTTTCTTTATCTCCAATGGAAATACCTTGTCGTTTTTCTAACTTACTGACTGTGTATACCATACTTACTCCCACCTGCACTGATTGGATATTTTCACGTGTGGATTAGACCCATATAAGGATTAAACTGAATTTTTTACCTTTACTTTGGTTTTGGCAGTTCTCCATCTTTGCTGGGATAATAGCTTTGACTCCCTGCCAAAAGCCAAGATTGCAAGCAGCACATGGAACATACTGTACTAATGAACTCTTAAAACACCTACTGGCCAAGTGTTATTTGCATCCGGCACTCTTCTCTTTTCCCAATTGATATCTGGACAAATTTTGATACTCACCCTCCTCTCTATAATATATTAATAGTTAAAATTTATTTACAACCTTCATTTTAAAGACACAACATTTAACTACACTAATTTAACTAACATTAACTCCACTGACCTTGTAGCCTGCCTGTGTAGTGTCTTCCCATCAATTAACCGTGTGACTAGTTTCGTTTCCCAGCCTCGGCTCTAACTGCCCTGGTCCTCCTTCTTGCCCGCGAGAGTCAGGCCAATTGGCCCATAGGTGGTGGTGGGGTTACATTTGAATACCCTCTCTCTCTGCTTTCTGTGTAGTAGTTATTCCTAACAGTGATTATATTTCTGCGACCATAGTACTAGCAATAAAGTATAACTTTCAAAGAAGTGTGTGCTCTGTTGTTTGACTGTGGGTCCTGACATTCTGTTAGGAATCCTACTTTCCCAACTTCCTTGCATCTCTCAAGCTGAGATGAGCAACGATGAAGAGAAAACCGTCCCTAAGATGACAGAGAGTGAGGTTCCTATCACTCAGACTGAGGTACCGGTGACTACCACACCACCGGTGACTGCTCCAAGACCGACTCCAAGTCTAGGTACTGTGCCGAAGATGTCATCGGCCCATTTTTTCCTGACGCTGAGAGGTCCGCAGCAATTGGCCAGGCAATCGTATCGGCCGGGGAGCTTGTGGTGGGGCCAATTCAACCCGGACTCAATGGAGGAGACGTACATCCTCACACAGGGGGCGCACAGAGACAGTCGATTTGATATCGGACTCCAATCCGATGCCAGCTTCCAGCCGTTCAGAAGGGCCTCGGAGGCGGCCACCAGAGCGCACAGTGGCCGCACATCTCCAGAGGTGGAGTTCGATTGGGCCCAATGCCTGGAGGCTGTGGAATGAGACTGGCTCCAGATGAGATGGGAATTCGAGGACGCACTCCTGGCCATTCTGGATATGGTAATTAGAGCACTGCAAGTGGAGCGCAAGGTGCAACAACCAGCACTGGCCCTTCCACCTCCGCAGGAGACCCTCCCCGCCCCAGCGCCCCAAGGGCCAGGACCTGCTGGCCCGCCTGCTGTTCTGGCACCCGGACCCGCTGACAAGCCAGCACCTGTGCCCAGGCCAGGCAGCCCGAGGGGTCCCGTCCTTCACCACCCAAAGGATCTGATCGAGGTGACCTTTGATGGGGATCCGGAAGAGTTGTCCTATTTTGTGGTTCGGGTGATGAAGTTTGTGGAGAAATGGAGACACCTGTTCCCAGATGACAGCAGCCAATTAGATGTAATCACAGCTCGCTTGAAAGAGGCCGCAGCCACTTGGTACATGGGCTTATACAACGCAAGGGGCCCGGAGCTGGTGAGTGTGGACGCTTTTATGTGGGTGTTGCATGCCCAGTTTGAGGACTGGAATGCTGGCCTGAAGGCTAGGGCATTCCTCCGCACCCTAAAACAGGGGAAGTGGTCAGTGAGGGAATACTCATCAGAGTTTAAACTCTGAAACTGGTCTGAAACTGGCCAGACCAAGTCTTGGCCGAGCTGTACCGGGTGGGGCTGAATCAAGAGATCTGCGAAACAGTCCTGTGCACGGTGGATCTGATATCCCTCCTGGCATGGATGCAAGAGAGCGCTGAGGGCTGTCTAAACACACTACGCCTAGACATTGCTGCAGTGGGAGGAAAGCCAACCCCTCCTCTGACCCAGAAGGGAAAGCCGGTATGACCGCCTGAAACACTCAGGGATCGATGCCTGAAGCAGGGGCTGTGCCTAAGTTGCGGGGAACGGGGCCACTTTGCCACTGACTGCAGTGGATCGAGCCCTGGAAAACCGGGAAAACCCAAGCCAGCCAAAATGCGGGTGGGAACCCTGGTGAAGAAACCATCAGGCAAGCCAAAATTCACTAAGGCAACCCCGGAGGAAACCGAGGACAGCACCAGCAAGGACAAAAGTCCCGAGTCGGCGGGAAAAGGCCAGGTCCTGCTGTGAGAGGCACAGAGCTGCAGGGCTCGATCCCGGAGGCGCCAAAAGTGGTGAGCAGCTACCCTCCCCTCTTTTTCGTGACTGTGACTCTTATGAATCCAGCCAAGGGGACCCACATCAGAGTAAGGGGCCTCATTGACTCGGGGTGCGGGAGGGACCTCATCAATCCATCTTTAGTGGCGGGGCTGGAAGCTGCGGTGGTGCGGTTACCCGAACACCTAATCTTTACTCAAATGGATGGGTCCACGATGAAGGAACCTTGCGAGTTCAAGACGGTGCCATTACGGTTGGGGGCGGGGGATCACTGGGAAGAACACCGTGATTACCCCCACAGCTAGGTTCCCGCTAGTATTAGGAAGCCCCTGGCTGCATGGGCATGATCCCTACATTCTGTGGGATAAGGGGAAGGTGCAATTCATCTCCCCACGATGCAAGTCGCATCTATGGAACCAGCAGTGGGGTTCCCAGCCAGAAGCCGAAGCCCCCCACGTTTGCCTGGCCCAAGACGAGTTGAATTCTATTCCCCCCAAATATCAGGACTTGGCCAGGGTCTTCGAAGAGGAAGAAGCGGACGAGCTCCCACCCCATAGGCATTCAGACTGTAGTATCGAATTACTACCGGGTCATAAATTGCCTAAGGTCTCTGATTCTCTGGTGCATAACATTGCTAAGGCAGAACCTGGCTCCTTCATGTGGTCGGACCATGCTTATGTACAAATTCATCTATTAAAACAAAGCCAAGACTGATGACACTGGAAATTAAATAAATTCATTTTATTGAACGAACGTTGCAAGGAAGACATTTGACAGTCTATTGAAATATATTTTAAAGAAAATGAAACAGACAATGTGGAACATCACATGGTCTGGGATGCCCTCAAGGCAGTGCTGAGGGGAAAGATCATCTCCATGGCTGCACATCTGAAAGAAAAAGAGAACAACAAAAAAGTTAATACCCTGTTAAATACTGTTAAAGCCCTTGAGGAAAGGCATAAAGTAGCAAGAAGCAAGAAAACATGGAAAGAACTATATACTTACCTGGCAGGGGAAAGAACTAGAAGCCAACTGCAAAATCCTACAAGCCTTAGAGAAACAGCAGATTCAGAAACAACTCCTTTACCTCAAACAACAATACTGGCAAAAAAAAATAATCCAAAACATTTAAAACGATTAGCCTGGCATGTCAAGCAGAAACAAACTGAGCGCAGAATTCATACAATGAGATCTAAAGACAATATCATATTGACCAAGCCATCTGGAATCGCAGAATGCTTCACTAAATATTATGAAGACCTCTACACTTCTACTAACACTAAGATGGAAGAAATTCAACAACATCATCTCTCACAGCAAACTCCTATGATTCTTTAATTCTCTCTGTTGACCTAGAGAAAGCCTTCAACAGTGTGGAAGTCAAGTATTTACGACATCTTCTGAGTCCCACGAACTTTGGTTCCAAATTTCAAACTGCTATACAGTCAATGTAGTGCTATGCAGTCAATGTAGTGCTACACCAAACTGCTATACAGTTTGGTGTAGTGGTTAAGTGTGCGGACTCTAATCTGGGAGAACCGGGTTTGATTCCCCACTCCTCCACTTGCACCTGCTGGTGTGACCTTGGGTCAGTCACAAGCTCTGGCACAGCTGTCCTTGAAAAAGAGCAGTTTCTGTCAAGAGTTCTCTCAGCCCCACCCACCTCACAGGGTGTCTGTTGTGGGGAGGGGAAGGGAAAGGAGTTTGTAAGCCGCTCTGAGACTCCAAGTGAAGGGCGGGGTATAAATCCAATCTCCTCCTCCTCCTCCTCTTCTTCTTCTTCTCTTAAAGCCAGGATTCTAACAAATGATAACACGAGCAAAACCATAAGACTGCAGAGAGGCACCAGACAAGGCTGCCCATTGTCACCACTCCTTTTTGCCCTCCCAATAGAACCCTTAGCATCAGCCATTAGAAAAAACCCTTTAATATCGGGCATCAAAGTCAACAACTCAGTCAGTTTGTATGCAGATGATATTATCATATTCCTCTCAAACCCGGAAGAATCACTTGAAGAATTACAATGCTTATTCAAGATGATACCATCCATAACAGGACTGACGATGTATCTTCAAAAATCAAAAATAATCCCAATCTCAATCAAGCAGGAAGTGAAAGTCAGGATCCATTCTGCTTTCCCTTTCCAATGGTCAATGGCAAACTGGAGATGCCTGGCCATCACAATTCCATCAGACTTATCAAACGTACTACACTGCAACTTTTACAAAACTTTCAAAGAAGTGAGGAACTCTTTGGAAAAATGGAATCAACTGCAACCCTCTTGGGCTGACAGAATCGCCTTAAAAGTTCCATCCTCCCAACATTTCTATTTTTGTTCAGAGCTTTGCCAATCACCATTCCACAAAAGACCTTAACAAGTGGCAAAAAGCGTTAAACAATTTTTTTTTTGAGCTATAAAAAGCATAGAATTTCATTCTCGACATTAAAAATCCCGGCTTCTCAAGGAGACTTAGATCTCCCAGACTTGGCTTTATACTACGCAGCTGCCAGTTTAGCCTGCACTGTCAAAACCTTAAACAGCAATCTTGATCCCACATGGAAGCAAACAGAAGAATGCTACACTAAGCAGATCCCACTTCAAGACATATACTGGAAGACCCCAGCTAATAGGCCTAAAGAATGCAAGAAAAACCAATACTTACACGCAGCGTTGATGGTGTCGGATCACTATAGGAAACTTCTTCTACCTCCTCCCTTGCAGGCTTCTTCCTTCCTTAATCAAGACTGGTTTCCCCCTGGAAAGGAAGGTATGATTTCGTTAAACTGGAGGGAAGCAGGGATTTCTCGTCTAGTGGATTTAACAAACAAAGGGATTCCACTCACTAAAGCCGAATTAGAGGCGAAAACAGGCAATAAAATTCCTTGGTACAGTTATCTTCAGATATCTCATCTTCTTCAAGAATTAAGGCAACTACAGGTGTTTGAGAAACCTCTAAATCTCTTTGAACAGTTGCTATTACACCCACCTCATAACAACAAGGGTTTCATTTTGAAAATCTATAAACTTCTGCTTTCTACATCATCATCAAAACAGAACAAAAATTCAGCGATATGGCAAATTGAATGTGGAAATCACATTCTTCCAGAAGACTGGGATACCATCTGGAACTCTCCAAACAATACCTCAAAAATATTCTCTATTAGATTTAATACTTTTAAAGTGAGGCACCGCAGGTATATGACACCCGCCAGACTGCACAGAATAAAGTCAGAAAGTAATAAGTACTGCTGGAAGAAATGTGGTTCTGTAGGAGACTTTTTGCATTGTTGATGGCAATGCACAGGAATACATAATTTCTGGCTACAAATTATAGAACAAATTAAAATCATTACTGGTGTTCTCTTACCTGATCTCCCGGAATTCCTTTTGCTTGATGTTTGGTCTGAACCTGCAGGAAACAAAACAAAAAAATATACAAATTGCTACTTTACTTGCTATTGCCAGAGTTACGATTGCTCAAAAATTGAAAGATAGAACACTTCCCTCCTTGTCTAACTGGAAAAATAAATTATGGGAACATTTTCTCTTCGGGAAAATTGCCTCACAAAACGCTGTACTTAACATGGGAGGCCATCAGCTCAATTTTAAACCAGTTTGGTTCGCAGTGGTCAAATACCTGGCTGAAGGGAATTTCGTCCCCATCAATCGTTATTACCAAAACCTTTTATATTTCTGAAGCTTTGAAAATTTCTTATCTGTGTAATTCAGGTTGACATAGCTGTTCTTGCTTTATACTGTTTTGATTATCTCACTACTTTAAACTGTTGTTAATTTTATATTATATGGTTTATAAAATTGATAAATAAAGAGTTTTTAAAAAAGAAACTAAAAAACGACAAGGCATCAAGACCAGATGGACTAACTGCAATTTATTACAAAACTTTTGAAGAGAAGATAATTTTGTCCTTAGAAAAAGTTATGAATGATAGAAGAAGAGGAGGAGGAGGAGATTGGATTTATACCCTGCCCTTCACTGGAAGTCTCAGAGCGGCTTACAAACTCCTTTCCCTTCCCCTCCCCACAACAGACACCCTGTGAGGTAGGTGGGGCTCAGAGAGCTCTTTCAAGAACTGCCCTTTCAAGAACAGCTCTTGCCAGAACTATGGCTTGCCCAAGGTCATCCAGCAGGTGAAAGTGGCGGAGTGGGGAATCAAACTAGGTTCTCCCAGATTAGAGTCTGCACACTTAACCACTACACCAAAAAGAATACATTGCTACCATCCTGGCAAGAAGCTCATATAACATTAATATACAAAGAGAATAATCATCCAGTGTTTCCACAATAATATAGACCCATTTCATTGTTGAATGTGGACTATAAAATTTTTGCCTCAATCATGGTTGATAGACTAAGGAAATGTATCTCCAAAGTAATTCATCCTGACCAGACTGGTATGTACTAAAAAGACATAGTTCGTTTTGTTGTCGATGCAATAGAACTTGTTAAACTTAAGGGTGAAAAAGCAGCCTTTCTGTTTTAAAATGCTGGAAAAGCCTTTTATAATGTGTCTCGGAATTTTCAACAAAAAACATTGCAATATTTCAACTGTGGTTCCAGATTTTTGAATTGGATAAAGAACATCTACACTAAACAACATGCAAAAAATTTTAATCAATGGGGTCTTGACAAATGGATTCAAAACAGAAAAAGGAACCCATCAAGGATGTCCACTCTCTCCACTTTTCTTCTTGTGAATAAAATTTTTGCTTCTAAGATAAAACAAGATCCCAAAATTGAAGGATTAAAAGTAGAAGGAGAGGAATTTAAACTAAAGAGTTATGCAGATGGTGTGGTCCTTACAATTTCATACCCCCAACTTTCTCTCCAACATGTAATGGAGCAAATTGACACGTTTGGACTCTTTTCAGGTTATAAAATCAGCGGTTTCTGAATAAGAGGTGTAAGCTCATATACACTGTACGATATGTAGCAATGATCAAGGGTGGAAATGAGGAGAGCAGCCTTTAAGATAAATTAACTTAACGTAGCTATATTTGGTCACCATGAGTTAGACTAAAGAACCGTCCTGGCTCATAGTTGATGTAATATTTATAGTGGACATTGTTTGCACATCTTTGTAGGATACACAGTGTTACGCATGTAATGTTTGAACCTCCAATTGTGTTTATGTGTACTTTTAAGTAAAAAAATAAAAATAAATTTAAAAAATCAACAGAAAGAAAATTATGATTATTTTAAAGTTTTCAACTACTCAAGAAGAGGAAGATAATAAGAAAATTTCAGGATGTGAAATATCCGACCAAGTCAAATATTTAGAAACATATCTCACAGGACAGAATGATACACTATTTGAGGCCAATTACATGACAACCTGGTCCAAAATAAAAAAAAAATCTTGAAAGATGGTCTAAATTACAACTGTCCTAGCTAAGAAGAATTTCTGCTATAAAAATGAATCCATTACCAAAATTAAACTTTTTGTTACAGATTATTCCAATTTCAATTTCTGAAAAGATTTTGAGTGACTGGCAAAAACAAATAAATAAGTTTGTATGGAAATATAAGAAACCACCTTGTAGGTTTATTTGCGTTTTCAAAGTTATTTTGCTTTGTATACATAATTTTCTTTGCATTTTCTTGTGTCAGGAGACAGCTAAGTTGGTGCTGAAGATTTTTTATATATATACATTTTCTTTTGCTTTTATACTACACAGCCCATAGAAACAAGGGGTGGGTAAACACTAACAGACTACAGGTGACAGGACAGCATTACTAAAAGAAAATGCTAACAGAATTATATATATTGCTGGTAATAAATGCTTATTCAAGTTTCTCATACTAAGACATACATGAGAAAAACTTCTTTTTCAGTTTATAACAGTAAGTAAAAGCTTATAATATAAGTATTTGCTCTGAGCAAGTAAGCAAGATAAGTGCTTATGTCTCAGTTACATTCTCTTCTTATTTCTTCTTCCCTTCTTTTTATCTTTATCAAAGTCAGTTTTGCCTTTGGGTAATTTGGTGCAGCTTCTCCCAATTCTGATGAGGAATTTTCTTCAGATGAACTGGTTGTATCCAATTCTGAACTTCTCAAGCCACGCGAGCTGTATTCTCCTTCTTCTTGATGACTCTTCTCTTCTTCTGCTGTTGTATCCTTTAGTAGTCCTTGAACTTTCTCCAAAAATCATTTTGCTTTATCAACAGAGTCAATCTTTTCTTTTAAATCCTTGTACTTGAATGTTATTCCTTCAGGTAGAAGCCATCTGTAGCTTATTGATTTCTTTTGTAGATATGTAGTTAAATCTTTGTAATATCTTCACTTTTTTCTGATTTCAAATGGTACATCCTTTAGAACTCTTATTTCCGACTCTTTAATCTTCAAGATGTTTCTATTGGTAGCTTGTAGACCTTTTCTTGTAGACCTTTTCGAGAATCTGACTATAATTTCCCCAGGTAGGTTTCTCTTCTTTATGTATTCGGGGTATGATCTATAGACCACATCCAGATCGCTTAATAATTCTTCACGTTACATACCTGTCATTGGGGCTAATGCTTGAGTCAAGATTTCTTTGAGATTCTCACCGCTTTGTTCTGGAACATCTTGAAACCTCAGCACATAGGCTGATTTTTCTGCTTGAAACCTAAGGATTTGTTCTTTATCAGAGGTTCATTCTTTTTGTAATCTGTCCACTTTTTGATCAAATACAAATGTTTTAAAAACAACCTTTTTGGCTCCATTAGAGTTCTTTACCATCTGTTTTTGGAGTGTTTCAAAATTGTGGTTGAGATTCGTCATTTGGTCCAGTAGGGGTTGCAGTGCTACAGCTAACATGGCTGAAAAGTCTGTGCTGGCTTCTGGTTTCGCTCCCGGAGATGACGCTTTGCCAGCACCTGAAGGAAGCTTCCTCAGTGCCATTTTTTCCCTGTCAACTCATTGTTTTCTTTTCCCGGGAAGTTTGTAAAAGTTCTTAAGAGAGATTATCGTTGTTCGCTTTGTGTGGCAATGCACTTGCTCATTCAAATAACGTTTTTCCGGACTCTTCTCATTCCAATAAGGCTTTAAATTATAGTTTTTCTTTTGTTGGGGGGGAATATTGCTCCCTTCCCCATCTCTGGTGTGTGTGTGGGGATGTTGGAGCCTGTTTAAAAGTTTATGCGCTTGATGAAAATTCACTCACATTTCTTCCGGTATCGTTAGATTGCCAAGATGTCTTGCATTTTCGCTAAAACTCCTGAATGCTCGACCGGTATGCGCCTCTAGGTACGATGATGGCGCCACAGCAGTAGGACCTTTGGGGCAAAGTGTGCCTCAATCCCTTGGCATCATGCCTCGGGAGCAGCACTACTCGAGCCCCATGGCTGAGGGGTCGTCTACAGGGGCCCCATGGGGGAACCGGCACAGCTGGATCCCCTCCAAGCCACCACGGAACAGGCCGCACCATATGGAGCTCGCCGGTGTGCACCTGCTGGGTGAGAAGCCGAAACCAGAAACCTAGTTGGTGCTGAAGATTTTTAATCTTGATCCTTGCTTGTTCCAATGAAGATCCCAGCTTCATCCTTTCTTCTTCTTTTTCAATTTGTTCTTCAATCTGTGTAAACTTTTGTTTTCTTTGTTTCCTCACACAAGCATCTTGTCTAATAAGCCATTCTCTCGCATAGGCCTTAAAAGCATCCCATACTATGTCCATAGAAATGTCAGGCTGCATATTCAGTTTAAAAAATTCTTGAAATTCTTTTTTAGTGTCAGCTACAACTCCTGGGTTTTTTAAGAGCCATAAGTTCATAGACCATCTGGTCTTTTTAGGAGTATCTTGTAAAGTCAAACAACCATTTATCATGGTTGTTGATATCCAGGCCATGTCTAGTCTTGATCACAACTTATGTCTTGCTGAAAAAAAAGTAAAATCTGATTTATTTATGTTTCTAGTTCTCCATGAGTCCACCAGACTAAATTCTTCAACCAATTGTAGAAAGGAGTTTGGCAATTCGTTTCCTGACTTCTTTTTTCCTGATTGTTTTTTTCTATCTAAGGCTTTGTCGAATACAGCATTGTACTCTCCAATTATTTCTCCTGTTCCTGATTTGGTGCATATATGTTAACTATCAATGTTGCTTTGGCTTGTCTCTGTATTTTGACTATCAGAACTCTTCCATCTTCTGAGTTGTATATCCATTCTGGATGCAGATCTTTTAAGGACCTAGCACAGCAATGCCTCTGGCCCAGCCCCCCCCCCCCCAAAAAAAAAACTAGAATGTCTGTGTCCCTGTTTTGTTCTACAATCCGTAGACCTGGCTGTGATATGTGATTTGATATTGAGTTTTGGAGTGACCTCAAATAATTATCATGAGGATCTGTGAGAGATCCATACTTTAGATTCATGTTTTTGTGCCATTGTGGTGATATGAAGTGATCGAAGCATAACTTCTGTGGTGCAATCTGTGTCTGCCTGTCCCATGGGGTCTGGAGGGCAGGGGCGTTAAAGCAGCACTCCCTTTAACCAAGCTACAAACCACACTGGACATTATTATGAACTCGCAACCGGGGA